TCAATTAAATAGTATATGCTTCTAATAGCAGTCACCCCAAGATGCACAGCCTGCACACACCTCTGTTATGCTAAATAGCCACTCTTTTGCACATTTTCCCCCTACCCCTCTAAAGACCATACATGTATGCATGTTCCAGTGTGAGGTCATATCTCCCTATGCACCCAACAATACAATGCCACGTAAGAGGGACTGCCTTGTATGATATGGGAGGCGGAGGATGGGTGGATGCACTGACGGATATCAAGGGTAAGGGCTATCACACTTTGATTTCTTCTGTTTGGGGCATGTCTTACGTATTTTACTGTCGTATAGTGAAATGCTCGTTTTAACAATTTTGAGCTATGTCAAAATGATGGAAAAGTAATAAAAATAAGTTAAAAACCCCTCCCAAGCTATAAACCATTCATTAATAGTAGAGCTTCTTCCATGTTTCTCACCTGATGTATATATTTTGCCATTGTGGACAGCTCCTGCATGGGCTGCTAGAGGCTGTGGTAAGGGGGACACATAGCACCATTCATTCGTCTCTAGATTATAGCACTCAACACTCGACAAATATCCTGTTTCATTTCTTCCTCCAATGACATATAGCTGCTTATCCAGGCGACAGGCATAGAAACTGGCTCTCCTGGATGAAGAAAACACAAAATATAAAGATTATCTCTGCTTTTCATAGTACGGTTAGACCTGATGTATTTATCACTTGTGGAGTGACTACAATACTTCTACGTTAACTGCAGTGAACTGTATACAATTTAATATTGATCCATGATGTTTTTATTTTCCATTTTTTTTTGTAAGGAGGTTTAGGGACTGCTCATTCTTTGGGAAGAATTTGCCAAAGTCTAAATGACAATGAGAAAGATAAAGAAGATACCTTAACAATTATAAATTATCTTGACATTCACTATCCTTATGGTCCTTCAAGGGTCATTGTTTCCAATTTACTAAAAGAAGCACATCATCAAAAAATTTTCTCCAGTTAGCTTTTCTTTTCCTTGCAGTTAAGCTGTAAAGAACACAACATTTATGTGTCCAGACAGACATGAAAGTTGCAAATAGTGCAGCGTCTATTTCACTTATTTTGCAATTTGTACCCGATCACAATACCTACATTTGTGCTTTTGATATAAAATTGCAGGTATAGATTAGGAATGTAAATGTGATTGCTGGGATCTATAAATCTATCATGAACCTCAACAATCTTGGGTGAAGAAGATAGGAGGTATGTAGTCTCCACAATATGTACTTACACTTTGCATTTGACACACAAATTGCATTTTGAGTCTACACAAATTTTAGGCTACATAACAGAATTGTGTGAAAATGCCAACAACAGGGTCATGAAAGGTCATGGGCTACTTTTTTTGACTGTGACACAAGCAGTGCATTGCACCCTCACACTTAGCTCCTAGACTGAATGTGGTATTTCTGGAGCGCTGCACAGGGAGTACTGTCCACCTATTAGACCCAAAAAACGATGTAGCCCCAGTCTCTAAGTTAGTAAACTGTGAGACAAAAATTATTGAAGGATCTAAGGAGTGAAAGTACATTTTTAACGCTATTAAACTTTTATTAAAATTAACACAAAGGGGCCACTGAAAAGACACCTACCTTTCCTGCATAGGTGGAAGCTGTATCCAGCTGTTAAATCTTGGATCATATCGACTCACAAAGTTCGTACTGTGTTTTCCTGCAAAAACAGAACTCTGGTATTAATAAAAAAAGACTTTGATTACCACTATAACCATAAATGGCAAATACTGTATAGCAACATAACATGCAAGGTGACAGTATAGCTATTGTGTAACAATACCTTAGGCGCAGTGGCTAAATAAGCATTAGCAAAATAACTGAAATGTGGCTGAATTATGGGTAGATGATCCAAGGTGAGCTTCCGCTTTAGCAGGAACCGAAAGTCTAAGTCTAAGTTTGCTCAAAGCTTCCTATTCTTGGCAGTTTAATTTTTGCACACACTTACACCACTTGGATAATTGTTATAGAAAAATATTGCACACTGGGTACAAGGGTTGGCAAGGCTCTGGAGCTGGATTTATAGCCTGGAGCCAGAAAAGAGCTGGTCATTTTGTTTACATAACTTTATGAGCTGGAGGGGAGCTAAATTCAGAACTGAGCTGAGCTTGAAGCTGACGCTCTGCAGCTGCTCCTCTCTATGCCTCTTCATATGGCTGTCAAAGATTTAAAATGACTTAGGTCAATATGGAAATAATATTGAAGCATTAAAAAAAGTATTAAATAAAATATCTAAATATCTTGAATCAAGTAATATTCAAATGCACTTTCATTTATTGGATCTATAGCCGATTAAGTTACTTTAGTCTTGTGAAATACCTTGGCAAGAAGGAAATCCACTTGCATTTTATATTACCCTACTTTTTTATGTATCCAATGCCTGAAAATAGAACATGAAGTTGGTGAAACTATTTTGACATGTTGCTTTAAAATGCTACATGATCTACATGGATCATATTTTTTCAATTAAAATATAAAATTGGGCTAATGTATTCAAATCAAAGCAAAATTTTAGGACAAATCATATATATTTTCTTTAAAATTTCTTGTTACAGTTACAGCGATGATACTTTGGAAAAGTTGTAATAGCATGCAGAGCTTCTCCAAGGTAGTTTTGGAGCAATAATCTCTGGAGAGCTCCAGGGTCAGAACTAGAGCTGCTGGAGACATGTGGAATGGAGCTGGATATTTTTTGGAAACTGTAGCTAAAGAGGAACTGCTCCAGTAGTAGCTGCCAGCTCTTCTGTGTGAGTTTGCTAATACAAAACTGCCAATTATTGCTTTGTACAGATATCTGTGGTTGGATGGCCTTAATAATAGAGCTTGAAGGCCTTATGATGGTCTTCATCACCGTAATATCATAAACCAGTTGAGTGTAATGAAAGCATAGACATTAGACTTTTAGTATGAATTAAGGGGTATTAAGGGGTACAGTTTGTAGCTTCCACATGTATTAACTGGATTAGGCGGGTAAGTGTTAGAAACTCTGTTCTGTTCTTAGCGGCGAGCGTGAGGTGAGGAGGAGGTGCGGCGCACAGCGTGTGGAGCCGTGAACAGGGCCAACTGATCAGAAGCCGATTAATCGATTATTGAAAAAGTTGACAACTTTTTCAATAATCGATTATGTCGATTAGTTGTTGCAGCCCTACTGTTCTCTGACTAGAACATGTCAATTTTTCATTGCTGGGTCCTCATTTAGGATGCCCCATCACTTCCTGTTCTTATGGCAACATTGTCCATGACCCTCATGACTAACCAGCTCTCAGATGGCAACAAAAACAGAACAGAGGTTATAACCTTTGGGTTGCAATTACTTTTTAAGTGCGGTGGTTAGAATAAGCCACAAAAGTCAAAGGTCTGCCTCCCTACTGTCATCATGCCCGTGCAGCCTGGCTGAACCCCTACAACCTTAAAAATTGAAGGGGAAAATGTATACAGCATCTCCAGTGTTCAAGATACAAAGCAACACAAAGTGCAAATGCTTAATTAGTGCAAAGCTTAGCAGCAATGCACAATTAGTAACCCATAATTACCAATCAGCACTGGCATTGCACTCTTCAGTTTTACCGGTGCTCTCTGCACTGCCCTATTGAATAAGCCTGCTTCTGTCATCCAGCAATGCTACTTTTTGTTGATCTGTATCTTGAACATCAGAGATGCCATTACACTGTGTAATTTTTCCCTTAAAGTCAATTTAAAGTGCTTTAAGTGTTCATATTTCTTTTTGCCTTTTTCTCTCTGAGTCAACACTTTTAAATATTAATGTATTTTGCACTTTCAGAATTACTCAACCCAGCATTAGGATGCACTGCAATTTAACATGGTCTGATAACTTTTCCATGTCTTTGGACGGATTTCATTTATTAAAGTAAGATTATTTAAATGTAATATCTTGGGCTGATGTTCCCCTGTGTCGCCATCATTTTAGATTATACAAGAAGAATAGATGAATAAAATATCAGTGCATGGCGCAACACTGATGCAACGATATGTTTAACTCTGAAGAATCCATGCAGTGTATTATTTTAATTCTTTTTTAAAGGAATTACAGAACGTCTGATATTTTTTTTTTAATTTCATGCTATTGTAATAATGAAAAATGAACAAAATGAACACATTTTTAGAGCAAAATGCACAACCAGTACAAATCCTGATTCAAGGAAAACTTCTCCAGGTTTTTAACTGGGAATATGAGAAGATGGGGTGGCTTTGACCAATTTGTTCCATCAGTCCCAATTTCCAAAGTATATATATTGATTTAGGACTAGCAATTATATTCCATTTTGTGCACTTAGTGCAGCTTAATGTCACACATATACACTCTTTTGCAGCCAATAACACCTTTTATATTATTTTACATGTTTCTTATTCACATAGCATAACTTAATCAGCTTGTTGCACAACACATGCTCTATTGTGAAAAACAATGTGTTCTCTGTACTGCGTTTTGCTCTGGTGTACAATGAGGGTCAGGCAGGTTAATGTTAAAGTGACACTAAACTCCGGAGTTAAATCTTAGAATGCATTCAAGTACCCTATCTGTTAACACTAATGTATCTTATTTGTGCATCACTCAACTATAGATCCTCAAATCATCTCTGAATTGGTGCTGACACTGTCCTTCCTTCTGGAGGGTGGCTACGTTTGTTCCCCATGGTCCCTTTGTGTGTTGTAAATTAGCCACCACTCCAAGCTCACTCCTATGATGGACCACAATTTCATATTTAGTTTATTAATTTTTATTAAGGTTGTAGATTTTTTAGTCTATCACAGGAGTGAGCTTGGAGCGGTGGCTACTTTACAACACACACAGGGACCATGGGAAACCAAAGTAGCCACCCTCCAGAATGAAGAACAGTGTCACCATGAAATCAGAGATGATTTGAGGATCTACAGCTGAGTGATACACAAATAAGATACATTTTTGTTAATAGTTAAGGTACTCGAATGTATTTTTAAGATTTAACTCCTGAGCTTAGTGTCACTTTAACGTAATTAACCCTGTCTGTACTGTGCTGGCAGATCTCATTATCATTCAGTAAAGTCAAACAATGTCTGTCCTAACCAAGGGTTAAACACCTAGAAGCATTGTATGTTAATGAGGGGAAGCTCAGTCTGTCCCTAGTCTTTCTATGGGAACAGAGATAGTTTTTTTTTATCACTTGAAAATTGAGAGGGAAGCTTGCAAAGGCCTGCTACACGGACACATCTAAAAGGTAAGATATATATTTTTTAAATATTATTTTTAGATATGCTGTGTGAAAAGGAACACATAACAAACATATAGAGGCATTTTCTCAAATTTGACTACAAAAGTGGGGATGCTCATATTTACATTTTATAATCTTTTTTTATTTACAGATTTAGCTGGAGTGGGGAAGAGTTAGAACCCCAATCAGGTTTTATCGCTCTCTTTGTTCCTGCTTTGGATGACTCATCCTCTTTTTTTGTTGTGGTGACCACTATCACAGGAAACAAAAGTGACTGAAAATCCCAACAATTACAATTGTCACAAAAATAGGTGGTGAGGGGAAATCTGCCAATGGGGAAACCTGTTTCGGACACAACTGTCCAAAAAGGGATCTGCACTGGAGAGATTTCCTCTCACTTTCTGTTGTGACTCTGGGGCAGGAAGTAAAGGGAAATCTCCCACTGGCACACAGACGCAAAAAATCCAGGCACAGGTTCTAACCATTTCATATTACATTCCTAAATGAAAACAAGCTTTTTCTTCACATACTGTATACTTTAAGCAAAATGGAATTGTCTATTTGGTGCGAAAGTAGAGCTACATGCCATAACAAAGAATCAGGTTTAATCTTTTAGTAACTGGGAAAATAAAACAGCAACAAAATATACGAAATCGGGCTGGCTGCTGTGCTCTATTTAGATGAGCTTATAAGTGGAGAATAGATGTTAATAATATGGATTTTACAGGGACCTATGGCTTGAAAATCTACCATCTCAATTTTAAATCCATCTTTTATGGGAAACTTGAAGCTATGCTGAACAACATCCATAAGAAATATTTGGGAACCAGGATGCCATGGATAAACAATGCATATTTACGGGGTCCCTGTACATGATGGTGTATATCTCTTCAGGCCCTATTTTGCTTGGGTTCCAAGAAATTATAGATTTTGAGTTATATGGGGGTCAATAAAAAGAGCAAAGGTTTAATTTTATACAAACAGATCCATGGCTGGATTTGAATCCAAAACCTCAGTGCAGCAGGTCATCTACTCCAGCAGTTATATGACTATGATGTCCTTATGGGAGGTATATGTTCACATTGGACAGAATCTATTTACACAAATGTATGTTTATAGTCAGCTAACATGAGTGACATCTTTTTTTCTTTATTTTGGTACTTTGAACTGGCACATTCCTTGGAATAATGAAGTAAAGCTGTATGAATTGGATCATACACTGAAGAATACATTTGAAAATTACTAAAGGAGCAATTTTTTAATTTTTGAACCCACCTAAATATTTGAAGCATACATATACAGTTGCAATTCTTACCATTAGGATTCCACTGGTCTTCTCCTCCTAGCACAAATAGGAAATTCTCCACCTCAACCACACAGTGGTGAGCACTGTTGTATGGCATAACTGAAAAACAGACAAAAGTGAGATCTGAGATCCAGAAAGCGTATGGAACAGGGAATCTTCAGAATAGAATGCATAACATAAGCTATTTTCCAAAAAATAGGGTACTGCAAGGTTCTAACTAGTGATTCAAACACTTTAGATTTAAACATCATCTCAGCTTGTACACATGGGTGCTTATCTGTATCCTTTTGTCCTGCTATATTCAGCTTCTTTTGCTATAAAAAGAACAAAGCTTAGCTGGTGCCACCAGATGCAAAGTGATGCTCAAAGTGTGTACAGTCACGTGGAGTGAGTTTCAGATATGTATTGTAGAACAATATACCCAGCGCCACTAGCAAGTCACAACCAAATCAAGGTAAACTGCAAGTTTAGTGAACAGTCATATTCAAGCCCTATAGTATAAGGACAGGTTAGAGAATGTATGCTTATGAAGGAGTTCTCAGGTGAAGATAATTACCTTCCATCTTCTAATGTACCTTTATTTTATCCATCAGAACATCCATTGTGTTAGGTATGAACAATGTAACACACAGTACTACATTTATATCATGCTGCTACATTTTGGGTCATACATGTACCCTATCTCAAGCTGGAGCTACTGGAGTGCCATGATTGATCTAATACTTGTGTACTCTAGAGGTGACTAGTGGGATGGAACACCACACTTTCCTCCTTTACCTCCTATACAGAAGAGTGAAGGATTGAGTCAGCTTCCTGATAAATTTTGCAACAAGTTGGAAATTCTTCTTTTGCAGTAAGCAACCCTTCACATGAGTGGAGGTGGGGGCACATTATGACCTACTGAAACTGCAGAAACGGCCTGGTTCTTGTACGCGATGCTTTGTGGAAGCGTAATTTGTTATTACTACATTCATGAACAGATTAAACATATGTTTATCTAAAAAACTAAAATTTTTACCAGGCAGGAATTGTGTTGAGACGTCACAAGCTGTTTAGAATATTTTAATGTCTCTATTGAAATAACTTTGTTTTATTGCTGAAATTCAGGCAAAAGAGAACAGTTTTATATGTTCTTTGGTATGTACCTACCAAAACAATTTGTATATTTGTCCATCTAACTCTAAAATTTATGCAAACCTACCAGACAGCAGAGCAGGGTTAGTGACTTCACTTTTCTATACTTTATTTAAACAATACGTTCTGGTCACCTACCTGCCCCCAGCCTGTGAATCGATAATGAATGAGTAGCAGCACACTCAACCCTCTGCTCTGTTCCCGTCAGCATTTTCCTCTTCAGCACACCTGTTCGGCTCCAATGGATGAATTTCCCTCTCTTACTACACTAGTTGCATTTTAAAATACCTTTGATTAAAGTATGCATTAATTAGTCCTTTTATTACCTGCCTGGATTCGCCTATAAGTCATAGTAAGTTGACATATAGAGAAAATGGTACAGAAATTGCTCCTGTTAGAAAGCGCCAATCTCTGAAACAAAGCACATTTCCCTCCACCTCCGGTTGTCATGGGAATCCTGTACATACTGATTTCTTTTCAATTCTGCCAGCTAATATATGCTTCAATTTATTTGGATTAGTTTAACCATCCTAGAAGTGTCATGCGCTAGGCCGTATGTTATACCTGTCCATAAATGTCATGTCACATCCTTTGAAAAACATACAAATGTAGCTCTGTGGTATCATGTAAAGTGAGCTGGAGCAATAGTCAGAAAATGATGTCCTTGCTCATCTCATCAAATGGACACCTTAAATCTAGGTGAGGACAAAGAGGGAAGCGATGTGCATGTTGAGGCTGGGAATTTATTGCTGGACACGGATCAACAGAGCACTTAGAAAACCAGAGCAGTGGGAAATCAATATGACACAGGGCCAGCTCTTTCTCTATAAACTTCTGCCAAAGAGAAAAAAAAAAGCCAGCCGAACTCACACGTGAATTTTTTCAGTTATATATCTCTCATTGCACTTGATTTACTATCTCCTTCTTGCAAAATGCAGCAGTGCAATATGGAATGTTTAATGATAATTTTTATCATTTTGATGCTACTGGCTGCCCAAACTTGGCTACAGCTCAGGAAAGATTTATCAAACTTTAACTCACACACAGCTATTCTGTTGTACACTTTTTGGTTTCATTATATTTTAATGCAAGGTTATTATCAAATGGCACACAATGATGTCTTTCATTAATTGACAACAGAATCATTTTCATATATCAAGGGAAAAGCACCTGCTGGATTTGTTTAATGTCAGTTGTCTGGTCACTGAAGGTTCTTCTAACAGATAGATCTGGGCTGGGAAAATAGATCTGGATCATGTCTCAAGATCTATACATGATACTGTGTTTGCAAATAAAGCTGGGCTTTCTCATAGGAAAAGCCCAGCATAACTGCTATACTTTATGGTAGACTGTGTTAATCTAGTAGTTAAAATTTTAACACTTGTGCTAGGAGAGGAGAAGGGAGTGTCTGAACCTCCTCTGAGTCATTTAGGTATCTGTTAAAGTGAAATCTTGCATTCAAATACCTTAACTATTAACTAAAATGTATCTTATGTGTGTATCACTCGGCTGTAGAGCCTCAAATCATCTCTGAATTGGTGCTGACACTTTCCTTCCTTCTGGAGGGTGGCTACTATTGTTCCCTATGGTCCCTGTGTGTGTTGTAAAGTAGCCACCACTCCAAGTTCACTCCTGGGATAGACTAAAATCTCATGTTTAATTTTAAGTTGAGGTTTAATGTGTTGAGATTCCAAGTAATTAGAGTAAACCATTAATTAGTCGGGTTGGAAAAGGTTTTAGAATCTTTTAAACGGGTTGTAGCATGTTTGGATGTAAGTTATATAGTATGTGTGCTAAACTAACCCAGTGGTTTTTTTGTATCTTTGCACAGCTGCCGGACTGACTAGGTCACAAAACAAGATAAACAGAATTATAAGTACTTTGGAAAGTAAAATAGTTGACACGCAGTACAGGTATTTCAAATGTATATTATATTTAATTTTGTATCTAGAGTTCAGTTTTCAGTTGTTTCGTTAGCTAATGGGTAAAATATATATCCAATTACTTGTTGAGCAGCAATTTCACAGTCATTCTTTGAGCATGATGTAAATACCAGGCAGTGCAATGCAATAATAAATCTGTCAGTCATATGGCAAACGTGTATGATTGATGAGATCCATTGAGTAGTGCATTGTCTCAGTCACTTTCAATGCGTGGCTAGTGATGGAGACAATAACAAAATTAGGTGCATCAACAATCAGACTAGGAGAAAGAGGGGCAGCACTCGGGACCATACTCTGCTACATGAATGCTACTTGTGCTGACACAGAACTTTATAACAGGAGAGGATTAGAGAGTGAGCAGAGGGATGAGTTCATCAGTCTGATGCTGCTCCCTCACTGTCTAATCACAGGGTAAGGAGAAGGAGGTTACCACTTACCATTCTGTGTTGCTTAACTGAATTAGAGAAAAGTCAGGACCTTAACCTGACTGATCTGTGTAACTCTCAGTACTAGAGGTACAGGAATAAAAATCCTTTGATTGGGAAGAGCAACCATATATATTTAAAGAGACCATGTCATCAACTTACTCATTTGCATGTAAAAACACAATAAAACAAGTATTTGAAACCCTTACTTGCAGTATTTTTCTTTTTCATATATTATGTTTTATTCACTTGCAATGTGCTTTTGAACTTGCTAGAAAAACTGACTAGTCAATTCCCTTGTTCCTTGCACGTCATAGCTCTTTTCTTTTCTGGGAGAACCTAATTACTTTTTGTGCTGGCTTAACTCTTCCGCTCATCTACTTTGATACACTTATATGTCGCTCCTGGGGGGGGGAATGAAGAGGAATTCTATAGAGTGTGATTTGAGTGACAGCTCTGATTCTGCTAAAGCTGCTGACATCACATCCAGGATGGTGGCACCCAGAAGCAGTCTCAGGGCTTTTAGATGTGCACACGAGACAGGCTTCTACAAGTATATAACATACCTAATATACTTTAAATGCTTATATAATCTTATGGAACAATTTTTATTTTTTTCACTTTGCCTGGGGTTCAGCTCTACAATGTTACTAGAGTGGGATAAAATATTGGCACCCCACAGACACCTGTATTTGCCTGTTATTCAAATTATTGGTTTTCTTTATAATAAACGTGTTTGCAGGCCTTTATGATGCTCAAAATATAATATTTTTGTAATCATACTTATAGGAAAGCTGGCATCTCTTTTACGCCACATAAACATTTAACGAAACGATCAGAAGCATATAACTATGTGATTAGGCAGAACACTCATTAATATTCATGATGTCACAATCCGCCCATGTGCATGCTCATGAATATACACTGAAGAAAGTTGCAGCCAGCTAACTTGAACATTTTCCAACTCCCTCAGCCAACGCAAATAAGTGCACCCAGCCTTGTTATGTAATGTGGATATGTGCTGGTGCTCTTGAGACTTGTTTGTCAGCCATATCTTAAGAGTTACTTTAATAAATCTGACCATTTTTTCACATGTAGTAATGTACACACATGCTTCCTCAGTCTGGAAAGCTTTCATCATTATAATCCATGGAGCAGGTAAGGGACATTCCATTCCAAAACATTAAAAAAGATTTTTTAAAGGAACAATAGTTTTTTAACATAGAGGCTCTGGATGTCTCTTCTGCCATAAAAGCTCTTTCCTTGCCTGGTAGCAGTATTTTGTAATTAATTATTGACTGCCATGCATGTGCACCTCAGTGCAGCATCACAGAATCTGTAAGATACTGGGAGTAGGAGTGAGGAGCGATGATGGGGTAACTGCCATGCACATCCGTAGCCAGCCAACAGAGAAGCCAGAAGACTCCAGACACAGAAGACTGAGAAGATGGCGAAGATGGACCAAAGAGAGGGAGTATGGACATTGTGCTTCCAGAGGAGGGCACTTTGGTAGGAAAGTGTTCCATAAAATGCAAATATCCTGTGCTTACTCATACATGGCAAATGCCCTTGGGGGCCAAACCAAATGAAGTTACATTTTTGAAGAGAAGTTATATCACTAACAATACCTTTTATAATGTTTTTTTTTTTCAGATATCCATTACAGAGGACTGGCCCGATGTAAATAATTTTATCAGTGGATGGTAATGTTTTTAAAACTTTATCTCATGATATAGTTTGTAATTACTGCTGTACATGGGGCAGGAATATTTGACCAGTACATATACAGGTCCTGCTTTCTACTCAGTACTGCTGTATAATGGTTTTGCCATAAGGTACTTATAGACATAAGATGACCATGTCTATGGGTGGATACTATCATCACTGGCTGCTAGTGGAGGAACAAACAAATGGACAGTGTTAGGCTGGTATCCTGTAGTGCTAGTGTGACCAGTTATGGGGATCTACACAGAGGAACCTGGACACAATAGGATTTATTATAAACACAAAACATGTGACAAACAGCATAAACCTCAGCAACCTAAACAAACCCCAGTAAAC